AAAAGATCCACCTTCTTTGGGTATAAAAAATAAAACTAAATTTTAATAGAAGTGCACAGAAGATTGTAGGACCTGGTTAAAAGTTCTAATGTGCATGGAACTAGAGTCCCAGCAGTAGAGGAGAAAAAGAATAATGCAGAAACAAGATAAAGAGACAGTGTCTGAAAAATGTCCAAAGCTGATTTTTAAAAATCAACTCACATATTTAAGAAGGTCAGCAAATTCCAAGACAAAGACAAACAAAATACAAAGGAGCCACACCACATCATACTCAAACTACTAAAAATCATAGAGAAAGGGAAAAACTAAAAAGTAGCAAGGTAAAGTAAGATACATTTCTTTTAATGCCACAACAATAGGACTGATAGCTGTCTTCTCAACAGCAACTATGGGAGCCAACGGACTGTATGATGACATTTTTATAGTGCTAAAGAAAAAAGCCTGGCTGGGCATGGTGACTCACACCTGTAATCCCACCACTTTGGGAGGCCAAGGCAGGAGGATCACTTGAGCCCAGGAGTTCAAGATCCGCCTGGGTAACATGGCAAGACTTCTTTTCTACAAAATAATAATAATAATAATAATAAATTAGTTGGGCAATGTGGCACGCACCTGTGGTCTCAACTACTCAGGAGGCTAAGGAGGGAGAATTGATTGCTTGAGCCCACGAGGTTGAAGCTGCAATGAGCTGTGTTCATGCCACTTCACTCTAGCCTGGGGCAACAGCATGAGACCATCTTAAAAATGCTACATAGCCTTAAAAAACAATGAAATCATGTCTTTTGCAGTAACATGGATGCAGCTGGAGCCTGTTGTCCTACGCAAATTAATACAAGATCAGAACACCAAGTACTGCATACTCTCACTTATAACTGGAAGCTAAACACTGGGTATTGATGGTCATAAAGATCACAACAGAAACTGGGGACTAATAGAGGGTGGAGGGAGGGCATTGAGATTTGAAAAACTAACTGTTGGGTACTATGCTGACTCTCTGGGTGACGGGATCATTCATATCCCAAACCTCAGCATCATGCAATTTACCTGTGTCACAAATCTGCATATATACCCCTTGAATCTAAAAAGTGGAAATTTTCTTACAAACTGGTAAAATTGAAGGGAGAAATGGACAAATCCATAATTATAGTTAGAAACTTTAGTATTTTCCTTTCAGGAATTGATAGGACAAGCAGATAGAAAATCAATCAAGATATAGAAGGCCTAAACAGCACTATCAAACAACTAGACTTAATTGACATTTATATAATACTCCAATAATAGCAGAATACACTTCCAAGAGTGAATAGAACATTCATCAAGATATATCATATTTTATGTCATTAACTAACAAATTTAGAAGAATAGAAAAACTTTTTAGAGAATCATAATCATACAAAGTATATTCCTGAACCATATGGAATTAGAGAACAGTAACAGAAAGCGATTGGGAAACACTTCTACATGTTCTGAAATTAAATAAAAACACTTTGAAATAACCATGGTTCAATTAGGATGTCTTAGGGGAAATTTAAAATACATTTTGAATGAATGAAAATAAAAATGCAACATATCAAACTTTGTGTATAGTTGCTAATGCAGGAGCTATTGGGAAATGTACAGACTTCAATGCTTACACTGAAAAATAAAAGTCTCATATCAATGATCTAATCTTCTATGTCAAGAAATTAGAAAAATGATCAAATTAAACCCACAGTATGTAGAAGGGAAAAAAGTATAAAGATTAGAGGAAGAATCAATAAAATTGAAAATAGAAAAACAATTGAGAAGAAACAAACTAAATGCTGACTCTTTGAAAAATCCATAATTGATAAACCTATAGCTAAACTGACCAAGAAAAAAATCACAGAAAATACAAATTACCAATGCTGGGAATGAAGGAAGAGATACCATAGACATTAAAAGGATAATAAGGGAACAGTACAAACAACTCTATGTTTAAACATTCTAAAATTTGGACAACATGGACAAATTCCTTAAAAGGCAGAAATTGCTAAATTTCATTCAACAAGAAATAGATAATTGAAAAATTTCTATATCAGTTAAACAGTTGATTTTGCAGTTAAAAACTTCATGAAAGAAAATTCCAGACCCTGGAAATTTTACAGGCAAATTCTACCAAATATTTAAGGGAGAAATAGCACCAATTCTACACAATGTTTTCGAGAATGTAGAAGAGAAGGGAAAACTTCCTAACTCATTTTATGAGGCCAGTATTTATCTAATACCAAACCAGACAAAGAAATTACAAGAAAACTATATTCTGGTGTCTCTCATAAACATTGATATAAAAATCCTAAACAAAATATTCACAAGTCAAACCTAGTAATATGTAAAGGACATCATATATCACAATCAAATGGGGTTCATCCTAGGAATACAGTTTGTTCAATGTTCAAAAAACAATTAAAAAATCATCATCTTAACAGGCTGATAGAAAAATATACTTAGATAAAAAAAACTACAAAATACTGATGAATAAAATCAAAGAGCTAAGTAAATGGAGAGACATATTATGTTCATGGATTGGAAGACTCAACATTGTTAAAATGTCAATTGTCCCAAATTTAGTCTACAGATTCAACATAATCCCTCCCCTCCCCAAATCCCAGTAACTTCATTCTAAAATTTATATCAAAAGACAAAGGAATTAGAATAACCAAACAATTGTTTTAAAAAATTAACAAAGTCTGAGAAGTCACATTATGAAATCTTAACACTAACTATAAAGCTACAGTATTCAAGACTGTGTGGTATTGGTAGAGGGATAGACATATATATCAGTGGAACAGAATAGAGAGCCCACAAATAGATACATACAAATATAATCAATGATAATTGACAAAAGTGTAAAGGCAGTTTGATAGATAAAGAACAGGCTTTATAAAAAATGGTGCTGGACAATTGGATGTCCGTAAGAAAAAAAAAAATTGAATCTCAACCTAAACCTTCACACCTTATCCAAGAAGTAACTCAAAATTGTTTGTAGAATGAAATATAAAATAGAAAACATCTAGAAACTTTGCTTTCTATAAGGCAAAATCTGCATGATCTTTGGTTTGGTGATGAGTATTTAGTTATTTTATCAAACAGCATAATCCATATGGGAAAAAATGATAAGTTAGGCTTTATATGAATTAAAAACCTTTGCTCTGCAAAAGACAATGTAAGAGAATGCAAAGACCAGTTATTGCCTAGGGAAACTACTTGTATATCAAATATCTAATAAAGGATGTATAACTAGAATATATAGAGAACACTTGAAATTCAATGATATGAAAACAAACAATCCAGATTAAAAACCAGGCAAAAGATCTGAACAGATTTCACCAAAAAAGATATATGGATGGAAAATAAGCACATGAAAGATGGTCAACACAATTAGCCTTAGGGAAATGTAATTAAATTGAATTACAACCACAGTAAGATACCGCTACATACCTGTTAGAATGACATCCCCCACCAGAGTGGTTACATTTGTTACATTCAAACCTACATTGGCACACCATTATGACCCAAAGCCCATAGTTTACTCTTGGTGTTATACGTTCTATGAGTCTTGACAAATATATAACGTGTACCCACCATTGTAGTATCACACAGAATAGTTTCACTGTCCTAAAAGTCCTCTGTGTTCTGCCTATTAATCCCTCCCTTCTCCTAATCCCTGGCAGCCACTAGTCTTTTTACTGCCTTCATAGTTTTGCCTTCCAGAATGTCATACAGTTAAAATCATACAGTATGTAATCTTTTTAGACTGGCTTCTTTCACTTAGTCATATGCATTTAAATTTACTATTGACTCTTCAAAAGTGTCAAGGTGACAAAAGACAAGGAAAGACCAATAAACTGTCAGGCAACTAAGAAGATATGATAATAAAATGCAATGTGGCATTCTGGATTGAACCCTGGAATGGAAAGAAGACATTACTGGAAAAACTGGAGAAATCTGAATAAAGTCTCTAGTATAATTAATGGTACGTATTTTACCAATGTTAACTTCTTTTGATAAATGTGTCATGGTTATGTAAAATGTTGACACAGAGGAAGTTGGGGGAAGGATGTATGGGAACTCTTATACTATCTTTGAAACTCTCTGTAAATATAAAATCATGGCAAAATAAAATGATAAAAATGGTTTTGATTATAGAAATATGTAATTTATATCTAATATATATTAAGGAAGTAAATTATAATGTGCATGTTTTAAAAATTCCTTTAGCTGAGTATAGTGGTGCATACCTGTGGTCCCAGCTACTCAGGAGCTGAGGTGGGAGGATCACTTGAGCCCTGGTGGTCAAGGCTGCAGTGAGCTGACATAGCACCACTGAACTCCAGCCTGGGTAACAGAGCAAGACCTCTTCTTAGAAACAAACAAACAAACAAACAAAACTCTTCAATGCAGTTTAAGATGTGATTTTTCTTGTCCTTATAATATATCCCTTTTATAATATATCCTTTTTAAAATGTATAGTCAAAACATTGTATAAGTCACTTATAGTAATTTTCTGTGTGGTCATGCCACTAACCCTGAGAGACAGCCAGGGTCAAGTGCTTCTGTTTATTTTAAATTGGGGAAATTGTAGGTTTTTTCTTTCTGTTTTCTTTGAACTGTGTAAAAAAAAATTACGTATGTCTAGTTTTGCTTCCATTCCAGTCCTGTCCTCCCTGTTTCCTCCCTCTCCTTATAGATAACCATCTTTATGAGTTCACATTTTCCCCTAGTTTTTTCCTGAAATGTTAAGCAAACTATCTCCTTTCTTACAAAATACTTTTCTGCAGCTTGCTTTTTTCACTTAACACTTATCCTCCAGATGACACCATATCAGTAAACAGAGAGCTTCTTCATTTCCTTTTTATTACTGCATCATGCGTTTTTATAGTTTATTCAATCAATTCCTTATATAGTGATGAATAAGTAACTTAATGGATGATTGACAGTGACTCCCTGGAATAGGTCCCTAGAAGTGATATTGCTAAGTCAAAGGGTAATGCATATGTACTTTTGGTACATATTGTGGTAGTGTTATACCAATTTACATCTTCACAAGCAAGTTATAAAAGTTCTGTTTTTCTACATACATCTTGCCAAAATATTGGATTTTTGCTAATCTGATTAAATGAAAAATAGCATTTCAGCACAATTTAAATTTGTATTCTCTTTATATAGTAAAGACTCATTATTTAAAGGCCACTACAGTTTCTTGGTGATCTGTCTACACATATATTTTGCCCAAGTTTTTACTGAAATGCTTATTTTAGTTTTCTACATTCTTAAGAGCTCTTTGTATAATATGAATATTTGCCTTTCCCTGTGATATGTCTTTTATTTGTTTTTTGACTTTGCTTGGAAGAATGTTTCTGTCATGAAGATATTTTATTTTAGTAAAGGTTTCTTGAATTACTAAGTAGTCAAATTTTATACAACAACTTCAGATTCCTATAAAAATTAACATTATATCATTGGTGCAGGGAGAAAGTCCTGGAACAAAGTATGAGAACCACTGTTGAAGCTGTCTGCCCAACTGGATTTTCTTTTACCATTCTATATTCATTAATTTATTTATTCAACAATGTGTACTGAGTCCTTACTCTGTGCTAAGCACTGTTATTTAGTGTCCTGGGAACAGAATTAGCTGCATTTAAAGGTCAAATGCTCCTGTCACAGCCTGGGTCTTAAGACATGATTTTGGTGATGACTGCATTTACATCCCTGTTTCTCAGAGTGTAAATAAGGGGGTTGAGAATTGGTGTGAGAATGGCATATGCCACATTGCCCATGATGTGGAAGTCGAGGGGCAGGTCAGCCCTGTAGGCCATGTAGGCTATGGCAATGGATGAGTAGTAGGTGCCCACCACCAGGAGGTGGGAGCTGCAGGTGGAGAAGGCTTTTGCCCGTCCTTCTCTGGAGTTGATATGAAGCACCGAGGCCAGGATGTGGGCATAGGAGAAAAGCACAAGGAGAAGGGGTAGGAGGGACACCATCATGGCGATGCAGAACCCCATGAGTGTCTGGGGGGTGGTGTCAGAGCAGGAGGCCTGGACCACAGCCAGCTGATCACAGAAACAGTGGTAGATGTAGGCAATGCTGTTATATGCCATCTGGGAGGTCCTTACTACTGCTGGGATGGGCAGAAGGAGGGCAGTGAGCCAGGCACTGGCTGCCAAGGCAGCATTGGTCTGTGGGGTCATGAGGACAGGGTAGTGCAATGGGTGGCAGATAGCCACATAGCGGTCATAGGCCATGACCACCAGGATGAAGGCTTCTGAACATGTAAAACTTTGGAAGAGGTACATTTGCAGCAAGCAGGAAGAAAAGCTGAGGAAGCGGTCCCCAAGCAAGAATAGGGAGAGCATCTTAGGGACAGTAGTGGTGGTGAAAAGGATGTCCACGGTGGAGAGATTGATCAGAAAGAAGTACATGGGCTTGTGGAGGCTTGGCTCTGCCATCACAGCCACCAGGATCAGGGCATTACCCAACAGAATAAGGAGGTAGAAGAGGGGGAAAATAAAAAACACAGGGAGGAAGAAGGTCTCTGGTAGAGAGGGGATGCCCACCAGATAAAAGACGGGTGAGCGTGAGCCATCCGCTGATTCATTACAGGCTGTGGCATCCATGGTGAGACAGAGCCGGATTTCTCAGAGATGGGCAGCTGGAACATCTAGACACTGGGAACATCTGGAAATCATAGAAACAAAGGATTCTGGAGTAGTAATTCTATAATGTTTACTCTGTAGTTAATATAAGCACAATTATTTACAACCAACTCTAGAGGACTGGTGGTGGGCTATGATATTGACTTTTACCATGTGAACCCAAAATTTGTCAAATATTAATCATTAATGAATAACCTACCAAATAGAAGTCTGTACGCTTTGTTAAGGAGATGAAATGATCAAAATGAAGAAGGTAGGCAAAGTTCCTGTCTTCCTAGAGTTTATATTTTACTGGGAAAATCCGATCTAAACAGTTGATGGTTGAATTATGATTGTGAAAGTGCTTTGGAAAGGCTTCTGCTGGTCTTCGTCTTAGGTTCCATGCTGTGTGGTTCGGGTTGATGTCAGATCTCATAAGTCAAGTCCTTGAGTCCATGTTTCTACTTTTGCACTCGCTCAGAGTTCCACCAAGTTCTGCTGAGGGGCTTCTTTCTCCAAGGCTGTCTGTAATGTACAGCTGCTCACACTCTTATTATGTTTCTTTCTTGTATGAGTAGTGGTTCTTTCTGACTCCATTTAAGCTAAGTGTCTGGACTTCTGCTCCTGCATAGATTGTAATAGGTTATGATAGCCCAATACCTTCACTTCGAAGACTAGGGAAACCTGGATAAATTACACAAATCACATTTTTAAACAAACTGAGGAATAGTGGGTGCAATAAGGATGAGATGAAGTCAAACTTCAAGGGGTGGGAACCCTTCAAAATTAACTAGTAATCACCAGCTCTTTTGTTCTCTGGGAGTATTTGATTTGGGGACCATGGTGTGGCTTAGACTTGGACCAGGCAGAGAGTCATAGATGAGAGAAAGAGAAACCAGTAAGACTTGTGATAGTCAAAAAAGGCTTACAAAACATACTGGAAATTTGAGGCACTGCAACTGCGTCACTTTTCCCCGTGGGACATCTTTTGAATTCTGGCTATGGAAGGGAGGCTAGAAAGCTGGGCTGAGGGCCTTTAAAAGACAAAATCTCCTGTAATCCCTTAAGAGAATGGAGGAAGAGGAATTTCCTCACACAAATATTGATATTCCCCTCAAAACATTTTACAAAGATTTGAGGCTATGTGTGCATGTAGTGGGAGGGAAAAGGAAGGATGGGGAATGCAGCTAATGACTTAAGCTCAAAATCACCAAGGGTAGATGCAAATCTCCCACACTCCTTCAGGGCTAAGGAGACAAGGATCAACCAGGCTATCAACCTAAAACTCAGAAGGGCCATACCTTAGGAAGAAGAACAAACCAAAGTTGGACTAAATCTTACTAGAACTGAAACTCAGCCCTAACCTAACTCAAGCTGTAGTTGGCTTTAGGTAGCCAGCCTACCTTCCTCTACTTGCCTAACAAAGAAAAGGGAGGTATCTGTCTGGTGAGAGGCATCATCTGGGGCTTCTATGAATCTAATATAAATAACATTCAGTGCACAACATGAATTATTGCAAAAGGCAGGAAAATGTGACCAACAATCAAGAGGGAAAATATACAATAAAAGTTGACATACAGATGATCCCATTACCTGAGTTAGCAAACAAGGACTTGAGTATAACTATGTTTACACATTAAATAAAAGAGAGGAAATGTTGACAAAATGGATTTAAAAATGGGCAATTTCTAGAAAATTGGAATCTATTTTAAAAAGAATCAAACAAACATTCTTGAACTGAACTATCCAATATTTGAAATTAAGAATTCACTGTATAGGTATAATGGCAAACTGCACACAACAGAAGACAGGATTAGAGAATTGGAAAATAGATCAGTAGAAAATATCTAAAGTTAAGCCCAGAGATAAAAGAGTATATATTGTATGATTTAATTGACATTAAGTGTCAGGCAAAACTAATCTATGATATTATAAATCAGTACAGTGATTGCCTATAGGTGTGAGGACTGAAAAGAAGCAGGCAAGAGCCTACTTTCTGAGGTGATAGAAATGCTCTATGTATTGAGTTGAGTCTTGGTTACATGTATGTTTATGAAAGTTCACTGAACTATATACATAAAATCTGCCCATTATCTTCTGTGTAAATTTCACTTCACTTAAAAAACACAGTAATAAATACAATACAAAGAGAATAAGAAAAGGCAGGAACAAGACTAGGAGAAGATATTTTCCTATTTTCAATACATTTATCAAAGACCATGTATCCAGTGCATATAAAAACTGCCACAACCATTAAGAAAAAGATAGATGACCTAATAGACAAAGGATCAAAAGACTTGAATAGGTGGGCACTTTACAAAAGAGAACATCTGAATGGCCAATAAGAATATGAAAAAATTAGCCATCTAGAAATGTATTAAAGTACAGGATGTTAATGGTACATACTCACTAATATGGCTAAACTTAAAAGGACTGCCAAGTGTTGGTGAGATATGTAGTAACTGGTACCCTCATACCTTCATGGTAACTAATACAACCACTTTGCATAACAGTGTGGCAACATCTTCTTAAACAACTTATATGACTCAGGACATATAACCAAGAGGCAAGACAAGGTATTCAGCTATTTTTGTTTGTTCATTTGTTTAAGGTACTCAGGTACAATAAAGCCCACAAATATTTGGGATAGATAATATATAGATATCTAGAGATATAAATATAGATCTATGTAGAGATATAGATCAGCTAGAGATACAGCTAAAGATACAGCACATTTCCAGCAACCCAAAAAGCTCCCTTGCACCTGATCCAATAAATTTCCCTACCCCTATTTTTGTGACTTTTGTCACCATGGATTAATTTTTTCTGTTTTTGATGTTCATCTAAATGGTTTCTGTTAGGCTGGGCATGGTGGCTCACACCTATAATCCTAATACTTTGGGAGGCTGAGGCAGGCAGATCACTTGAGCCCAGGAGTTCAAGACCAGCCTGGGCAACATTGCAAAACCCTGTCTCTACAAAAAAATTTAGAAAATGAAAAATAAGATTAAAAAATAATTTTTTTGTCATATTACAATAAAAGGCACGGCAGAACATGCCTTTGGTGAGATGACTTGCTTCCAGATTGACTGAAGGCATATTCTACCCAATAGCAGAAACAGAGATTGTAGGATTCACTGTGTAAGGGCATGACTTTTCTTCTCTCCTGTCAGCTAGTGCTGTTCAGCAGGTGTTCCTGATTAACCATTTCATTATCACTATCACTATCACTATCCTGTAGTCTTCCCCAGCCCCAGATAAGATGGTACTACAGAAATCTGGAAACTTGGGAGTCTTGGGATTGTTAGAGAACAAGTCATATTGTGACAAGTGCCCAAAGGCAGAAGACCCCATCCTACAGGTTGTTCTCCTCCTGTCAAGGAAGAAGAGATGTGTGCTTTCATCTGCCCATAGAACTGGAAATCTTTAACTGAGGGAGAATACTGACTGTTCTACTATGTTGTGCATGTCTCTGAAGAAACAATCCAGGAGCAAGTTCACGTTTATGTTTACATCATTGCCTCTTGAACGCTAATGATTCTAAGATTACTTTCTCTGATTTTCCCTACTTCTCTTACCTCTAATAAAATATCTTTCATGTCATTGAATCATAAAAATACCAAACCTGGAAATATCCAGTCAGTTTTTCCTTTTTTCTTTCTTTCTTTCTTTCTTTTTTTTTTTTTTTTGAGATAGAGTCTTGCTCTGCCTCCCCGGCTGGAGTGCAGTAGTGTAAGCTCAGCTCACTGCAACCTCCGCGTCCTGGGTTCAAGCGATTCTTGTGCCTCAGCCTCCTGAGTAGCTGAGATTACAGACACGTGCCACCATGCCCAGCTAATTTTTGTATTTTTAGTAGAGATGGGGTTTCACCATGTTAGCCAGGCTGGTCTCGAACTCTTGATCTCAAATGGTCCACCTGCCTGGGCCTCCCAGAGTGCTGGGATTACAGGTGTCAACCACTGCACTGGGCCAGCTTTTTCTTTTAATATACAAAGGGAAAAAGACAAAAAGATCCAGGGCTTTCCTATACTGTCATGGCCAGCGAGCCACAGAGACAGTACTGGAGCCCAGGCTCTAACCCCCAGATCAGCATTCTTTCTTCTATAGTTGGTTCCCTGGATAATTTGGAAGCTCAGGTTTTCATGAGGGGAGAGACTGAGGCAAAGGTTTTCTCTTCTTCTCCATATCTTTGGCTGATATTGTCAGCCCCAAACTATACATTTCAGAGTTTATTCTTTAGTTTCCTAAGTGTGGGGTGGCCTGGTTCTCTATCAGAGAGTGAAGGCTGGTAAAATGTCTTTCTAAAAGACACATGGGGCAGGGCACAGGGGTTCATACCTGTGATCCCAGAACTTTGGGAGGCCAAAGTGGGAGGATTGCTTGAGACTAGGAGTTCAAGACCAGCCTGGGCAACATAGCAAGACCCTGTCTCTACAAAAAATTAAAAAATTAGTGAAGCACAGTGGTTTGTACCTGTGGTCTCGCTACTCAGAAGGCTGAGGCAGGAGGATCATTTGAGCCCAGGAGTTCAAGACTGCAGTGAGCTATGATCGTGCCACTGCACTCAAGCCTGGGCAACAGAGGGAGACCCTGTCTTTCAAACAAAACAAAAATTAACAAAAAGACACATGGAACAGACCACTCCATTGTGAATGCTCCTTGAAAGAGTGTTCTACAGATCAGCCCCTGTTATGCAAGCAGGAAAGCAATACTGCTGCCCCTCCACTTAAGAGATAACCCTCTGCTGGGCGCAGTGCCTCATGCCTGTAATCCCAGCACTCTGGGAAGCTGAGGCAGGTGGATCACAAGGTCAGGAGATCTAGACCATCCTGGCCAACATGGTGAAACCCTGTCTCTACTAAAATATAGGAAAAAAAAAAAATTAGCCAGGCGTGGTGACGCATGCCTGTAGTCCCAGCTACTCGAGAGGCTGAGGCAAGAGAATCGCTTAACCTGGCAGGTGGAGGTTGCAGTGAACCAAGATCATGCCACTGCACTCCAGCCAATAGAGTAAGAC